TCTTTTCTGACATAACTAGTCCATTTTCTCATGATATCCTTATGTTCAAGGTAGGCATTATGACTCTTAATTTTTTAGGGTTTTTTTTATGCATAAGGTTAAATATATAAGCCATACATTCATCATAAAGCATAGGTCTAGCCCAAGTAGGAAACAAATATATTTATCTTTGCATACTGTCTTCTTAACAAAATTTGTGTCTGATATGATGGGAAAAGGCCTTGGTAGATAGGCATCTCAGGAGGAGTGGGCATTGTCTTGAAAGTAGGATAAGTAACCCCAGTCTTTATACTATAAAAGAATGATTTTGGGATATCTGTGGTTCAGTTCAGCTAGTGGTTAATCATATGAATTTGATGTAAAATTGTGTATAACTTTTGCAAAGATAGTGGAGAAAAAGATGAAGTTTGTTAAGAAGCTTTTGGGTGATTTATCATCAAGTAATTAAAGTCGTTGGATATGTTTATTACCAAATTATATTCATTGTTGCAGCTTCCCAAGAATTTCCCAGCTTTCTTTTCTTCTTTTTCTCCATGCACGAATTAAAGAATTCTTATCTGCTTATACTCATCTGATCTGTTAGATTACAGTTACAATCTCTTTGGAGGAAGAAAGATGTCTCCAGATTCCATAAACAGCTCTAACATACATGGAAAGTCTTTATGGAAAAATTAACATATTTAAAAGTTAGCAGCAAAAAAAAAAAGGGGGGGGGAGAAACAATTACTTAAGCATCAAGTTGCTACCTCTTCAATGTTCAATTCACATTCCTCTCCATACCTCTTCAATATTTCATTGCCAATGAAATAAAGCCAGGATTAAAAAAGTCAGTTTTACTCAGTTAACAGAAGAACACTGGAAACAACACATCTTCAATGATGTAAAGAAATAATATTCTTTGGAATAGGCATTTAATTTTGCATGACTGCATAATGCTTCTCTGAACAAAATAGTAAATTTTTTTTTGTGGGTTAACCTTTTATTTTCCATATTTACATAGCAATTTTAACTCAAATTAAGAACATCTTTTTAAATAGTTATTTTTAAAATGGAGTACGTTCACCGCGAAGAAGCTTTTCCAAGATCGGCTCACTTTATGATGACATATTTTACATTCTGTGTTTTTATTCTTCCTTTGTTGGCACAGTGGCATTTATTAATAATTGTGGCTCCTGCTACCTTGGGCATTTTTTGCAAATATGATCCTGCAACAATATCATACAGAAGAAGAACAGGTGCTTATGTGAGATGTCACCAATTTCTTACTAAGGTCACATGCTATATTCCCTGGGAATCATATTATAGGCACTCTCTCATAGCCTGAAGGAAAAGATATCGAGTTATTATATTCTTTTTTCAAAATAACATTCTGATTATTTTTACCTAAGTTAATATTCAGTCTAAAAATGCCAAGAAGAGAAATGATTTAAATTTAAGCTCTATTTAACCCAGTACAAGAGGAAACCAGTAAATGACCTACATACATTGAATCATAATTTAAGCATGCTCTGCAGTTTAAAAATTAATGTAGTATTGTTGTACTAACAGCTATTATTACCGTTTTGTTTAAAATAAAAAATAATAGAGTGAACAAAGCTAGACTGAGAGGTATTATAGACCAAGTTAAGAGAACCTAGCGTAGAGTTTTTCATCCCACAGATGGGGAACACACTGTGGGACTACAGATGATCTACAACATGACAGCCAAAGATGTATCTGACCCTACCTACATGCAAGCAAGCAAGCAAAGTTATAAACCATCCTACAGAATGTAGCCTAACTTGTATTTGCTTGTAGAATAAAATCATGGTAGCTAAAACTGCACAACATGGCCAATGGATTTAAAAAAAAAAAAAAAGGTTTAGGTTACGTTCATTAAAAAAGGCTATGAAATACAGGATCTAGAGGATTTACTCATCAAAGAGCCGTATTTCAGCTACCAATTTCAGTAGAGGAGATTCTGGAAGAATTTCAGGATAAATCAGTCTCAGACTTTTTCCTTAGAGGAATAACTCTGAATATTATCTATATTATCGATAGCTGTGATCTTTACAGGGTGGTTGTCTACCCATCCATTTGGAATTGTATTGGTACTTAGTTTTTGTTTCAGATGTTTCTCTTCTGAGGCTGCATGGCATTACCATTACCTCCTGCTGTAGTCCCGTGAAAGACATATTGATGAAAGTAAGAAGTGAACATCTTCCTCTGAATGTTAGGTTGAGATCTCTGATAAAGCAAACGAAAAAACCATCCTGGTTTACACTAGCACTCCTGATACTGCAATACAACGCTAGTGACGCATACAGTATTTTGTTGCCAGAAAAAGGCAGTTTCTCTGTTTAGGACGTGTATGAAACACAACCCACTGTCCCGCTAATTCAGGTGAAAATGTTCCAGCCAGTAGCGTTAAAAAGAAAAGGAAATACAAGAAGTCCAAATACATGTAACTCTTTAATTTCTAGAATGACAAATGAACACATAATGCTAACACATCAGAACTTGCCTACAAAGAAAATGGACTTATTCCAACTCCACACAGACTGAAGTGGAATAACAAAAGTTCTGCACTGATATAGTGATCACTGTCTGACTGAAGGACCAGCACCTGCTTTGTCACTGTCACTCAGCTGACACACATTGTCTACTTTTACTTTACATGATGCAATAGCACCACATTCTCTCTGCCTTTTTGCACCATGGTACTCCTTCTCATGTCATAATAGGTCCTTCTGGTAGTATAGGAATAAACCTTGAGTGAAGCAAAGAGATTGTAACCCAGGCAAATAGGCCACCCTACTGTCAAGAGATTGCTTACTCCCTCAGGAAAATGCCTACCTTGGAAAAGAATGAAATGATAGACCTAATCCAATTTTCATCAAAGAAAACTGAAGTCCTTTCTCTGACTTTGCTGAGAGTTGGAGTAGGCCTGGAGGAAGAATCACAATCTGCTAAATATTTTTCCTCTATATAGTAGAAGGAAAGAAGAGGGGCAATGACAAAGAAAGAAGCTCTACAAATAACCACAGGAAAAACAGACCACAGACAACCCAGCTAAAGAAAAACAGAGCAGTTCTCTCCATTGTCCCTGGCTGCCTGCTGTGGTGCTAGAGCTTAAGTGACCTGCATCTTGTTTGGAATCACCTTTCTTTGGGAGCCAAGATATTATGAAAATCACAGGCAGTTCCACCTGGGAACAAACTTTTGCAAGTTCTGCAAAAAGCAGGCAGTGGTAGGTTGTGTGAAGAATGGGTCTGCAGCACTTCCACAGACTGTGTGTGGACAGACGCTGGCAACATAAGAACAGCAAGGCTGCCTGTTGCCTGCATCATACAAAAAAGCCACCTGCTCAGTTTATTGTCTCCTCGCTCCCCTGAAGCAAACACTGTGATGCATTTCTCCCAGCTTGCAATACTTATGAGATCATAACTTTTTAAAACTCTGGTCTTTTCCCTCCGTTCTGTGGAAGAGGAATAACAAAGCTCCAATTAGAACGGACCAGGAAGGGACAAACATTCCTAGAGGAGAAGGGATCCTGTAGTATTCGCAGCGGGGAGGATTAAATTCGCTGCAGCAATTTCAGTGGACTCTTCAGGGCTCGCGCTAGATGCACCGTGTGAGAAACACCCCTGCTTCCCCACGCTGACTCACAAAAGGTTTCTATATCCCTGCCAGTTCCTGGAAAGTGATTCCGTCCCTAATCCCTCAGGTCTCACCAGGTTACAAAACTGGTTCTACTCATTTAAGAATTCTCACTTTAGCAACACACATTACTTATGGCAAGTAACAAATGGTGTGTCTTTTCTACTTATCTGTAATTTCTCACGTGCATGCACATACAGTTTTTCCCTCATATCTAGCACATTGATATGCAACCCATAGAGAAAACAACCATATTTCAAACAAAAAAAACCCCAATAACAAACAAAAAACCCCCCAAACTCAACCTCAAAACAAAAAATGCCACTTCCCTCAAAATAACTCTCTTATGTGAGTTCATGCACATGAGAACCTCTTTTGACATTAACACCAAATAGTCTCTTCGTAATATCCATTTCCTGAGGGAAATGCAAATACTTCAGGCATTGTTTATATTCATATTAGTGCTGATCTCACTATGAGAGCGAGAGTTCTGGGATCACAAAGCAGGGTAGGATAGATAAAGGTGAAAATGAAATTAAGGTGAGAAGCATGCAGATGTTAAAAAAATTTCATATAGTATGTATACGCAGACTATACACAAAGGCATTACGGGATTAGGTAAGAGGCAAACATCAGTCCTTCTCGCCACAATTATCTGCCTCTATTCCACAAGACTGCCAGAATGCCAATCAGTCTCTGAAACGTTAGCTTATTTTATAAACCTTAATTTTTACTTACGTTTATCTTCCCTTTGTAATTAATGTTTTAAAATATAGCTGAAAAGATATTGAAGATGCAGGATTTAGATGTATTTTAAAAATGTAGGCCATTTTAATAGTAACATTTCACTAACCATTCCCAGATATTACCAAAGCATCATAGGCTTTTCTCTGTGAGGCTGACATCAGCAAGACTCTGATAGCTTATAAAACCATATAATATATACATAAACATTAATTTCCTACTGGTCTTTCCATAGTCCCCAAATTTGCTAATTTGTCTAAAGAGAAAGGCACCCTGATTTTTAGAAAAAATAAATGGGGATTTCATATATATATATATATAACTTCTACATATCAGTTGAGGGCCTGAACTGCAGTGTCTAATTGTCTTCTTCTGATATTTTCTCATACTCAAGTCAAAACATGGGGCAGTTTTTGCAAAATTATCTGCACACTAGCTAGCGAACATGCAATGGGGAGGCTGCGGTAGCATAGAAAATGCTTCTGTTTATGTGCATCTCTCTAGTCATTCGAAATGAGCGGTACAGAAGAATAAAGCAGTTCTGGCACAGAGTCACTGCGTTCAGGTAAAATTTTCTATTTGTTCTCCTAATGGTTTTGTTTTTCCTATATTCTTAGCCAGCACTGGGAACGGCAGACACGCGAACTGCGCCCATCCCTGAACGCGAGGAAGCCGCCAGCTCCGATCCCATGAACCAGCATGAGACTGCCGCACGTTTTAGGGCAGTATTTTAGGCAAAAGCAGCTGGCAGTGTAACAAAAGGCCAGTGTTTGGGAAAAAAGGGGGGGGGGGGGGTCCGAAGAGGAGCGTGCGGGTGGCCATTGAGTCCTCGGGTCCTGGAAGCAGATAACGCTGGCCGCAGCAGGAGCAAACCCCACAGGGAGCGCTCACCTCCGCGCCCTCCATCTTTACCTGTGCGGGGAGGAGGACAGGGCCTTGCTCCGCAGGGCCAGCACCTCAGCGCCCTCAGGAGCCCTTTGCTTCTCGCTCTGCTGGGGAAGGGCTCCGGGTGGCGGCAGTTACTGAACAACTCTTCCTCTCAGGGAACCTGAGGCAGGAGCCCCGCAGGAGGGCGAGGAAGCCCGAGTTCCCCCACCCCGGTCGCGGAGGGAAGGCTGACAGGGCTCCGAAGCCCTCCGCCTTGGCGCACCTTTCGGCGGCACCTGCGGGCTCTC